ATTGAGGAAATATCATCCTATCTATAAAATAAATAAAAAAAGTGTATATACAATTTCACAACTTACTTGGTAAATGCTAGAGGATACATCATGAGACCATCTTTGATGATATGACCATGGAAAACTTGAGTTTCCTTAGTGCACTAGCAAAGGTCTAAGTCTCTAAGAAGAGGAGCTTTGATTTTACCTTGGGTACTTGTAGTCTATGTGTGCTTGAAGTAAAGCATCCTTATATTGAACATTGAGAATTTATTTATAGACCGTCAAAATTTATTTATTTATTTTATTATTATTATTATTAGATAGATCAATGGTTATTATTATTATTATTATTATTTATTATTATTAGATAGATCAATGGGGATTACAGGCCCCTACCTGTTTTTAGAAATAGTTAATGAATTTTGAATGCATCAGTAGGACTGGAACCTAGACTTGAAACTCAGGTGGTGCTACCACCACGACTTCTACTCCATTCTCTAGATAATCAAATTTAAATATTTAATAACTCAAAATCTTGTTTTCCTTTCTTCCAAAGTGGTTCTTAAAATTTTGGATAAAAAAACCCTCCCATTTTGCCCTATAGAGTATGTATATAATGTCATCCCACACAAGTAAATTGTGTATATACCACTGTAGGAGTAGTTTTAGGGCTTCAAATTTTGGAGATATAACATATGTGACCTAGCGATCAACTTAAAGAAAAAAAGTAAAAATTAAAATATTGCTTATAATGTGCTTGAAATAAATAATATCATAAGATTGAACAGAGGCCATTAAATTTTCAGATGGTCAGTTGTATAAGCATTTAAAAACTATAATCCATCTTTTTATAAAAATAGCTGTCCAATGATTCTTATGTGGATCCCTAAATGTGGTGACATAAATAAAGAGGCTGCACACTATGAGACTATTTACTTTTGGTATAATGGTGTTACAATTATTCTTAGTAATTGGATGTGATATTTAAGAAAAATTATACAAAGTGACCATTTACTTTTTGTACAAGGAGGTCACAATCTTGTCTTTAGATTTCAAATTAAGTGGTTGTAAAAGTGTTATTGAAAAGATTCAATGTTAAAAAATAAAAAAATATGGGACTTTGTGATTAGCCCAAGCCATCCAATTTGACATCTAATGACTAAGAGTGATTAATAGTCTTGTTGTATTCAATCCCAATATTTAATGGATTGAAGTATGTCACAATATTCAAAAAAAATTATTTTGAACAATGTGCCTAGCCAAGGACACATTTCCAACCACCCGATTTAATAGTCAATAGTAATAATGATATTTTTTTACCAAAAATAAATGGTCTTACTTTATATATTTCCATAAATAAATCATCTTCATAAGTCTTGCACATAAATAACTAATCTCCATATAAAGTTCTTCCGCATGAGATCAACATACAAATACTAGCATCCTATACACGCTCTAGATCATATTCTCTTCATCATTCGCTTCTTATGAGATTCGAATCGGCGGTAGCGTGAAATAAACGGGGACGGTATTTCAACTTTTGAATTGGAGAACATGATACTTTTGATATAGCAAATGGGCATTTGTAATGAAACATGTACCAAACTTTTTCGAGACGCATAAATTTTCTCATTTTCTCCCAATAAAGCTTACAAGATTTTCCTTAGAATTTTATCAAAAAACAAACCTAAATACGAATTTATTGCCTTCCCACTCATTTTTTATTAATTTGAAAACTTTTCATCAAAAGATATCCGATCAGGTGTTTGAATAGTTAATATTAGTCGTACTTTAAAAATGATAAAAAAATGTAAAATGCTTGATATTTTGAGTTCTTTTATTTAGGACACGGTTTCTATGCGGCCAACCCACATATTGTAGAAATGCGGGCTTGACAACAAATCATCATCATCATTTTAGCCTTTTTCCAATTAATTTGAGCCAGCTAAATAAATCATGGTTCTTCATTCTACTCTAGTAAATGACATATCCTCAGTGAGGTCATAAGTCTCTATATCTTTTCAGACTACTTCCAACCACATCATTTTGGACCTACCCCTTGTCATTTTCAGTCCATTCACTTGAACTAATTTGCACCTCATACCATGTGTTGTACTTGGTCGATGCCATACATGATCAGCCCACATAAGTAAACTATCTCTCAATTTATCGCCTATTGGTGCCGTGCCTAAATTATCTCGAATAGATTCATTGCGAATTTTATCATTTCTTGTCTTACCACTCATCTATATCAACATCATTATCTCTGCTATACTCAATTGTTTTTTTTTCGCCCAACATTCCGCCCCATAGAGCAAAGCTGGTCTCACTGTTGTCTTATAGAACTTGCCCTTCAACTCATTGGTATGGGGTTATCACATAAAATTTCAGATGCACATCTCCACTTTGTCCACCTAACTTTAATTCTGTGTGCAACATCTTCCTCGATCTCTCCATTTTCCTGGATTATCAACCCAAGATATCGAAAGTGCGGTCTTTTTTGTATTTCCTGGTCGTCAATCTTAAGTACTTCCTCATCTCTACTCTTATTATTACTAAATTTGCACTCCATATACTCTGTCTTAGTCCGACTAATTTTAAACCTTTTGGATTCTAGAGCATTCTCTAAAGCTCTAACTTTGTGTTGACGCTGTTTTGGGTCTCATCAATCAAAACTATGTCATCTGCGAACATCATGCATCACAGTACCTCATCCTGTAAGTGCCTCGTTAAGTCGTCTATAACTAAGACAAAGAGGTACAAGCTCAATGCTGGCCCTTGATGTAAACCTATTGTCATTAAAAATTCACTCGTCTCTCTACTAGTTATTCGTACACTAGTAACTACTCCATCGTATATATCTCTCACCATGTCGATGTAGTGTGTAGAGATGCATTTTTAAAATATAATTTGATCCTAATTTTTAGGGAATATATAATCTTTAACATGGAGATCATGAATATGAAAAAAGAAAAATAAAAAAATAAAAATTAGAAATAATAATTATATTAAGAAAATATTTGGACAGTTAGTTACAATTAGTTTTAGATGGAGGGTCGTGTATGAAACAATCTTGGGAAAATTACAAAAAACCCTTAAGGCCACACTTTCTATGCAACTTACCCCCAACGTAAGTTTTTCTCTCACTTTTTTTCCAAGAAACACACTTCCTATGCAAATACCCCCGAAGGGAAAAAGTTCATTTTTTTAGACAGAAATGTCCTTCCCATACACAGAAATCATTTTGGCCAGATTTGACGTTGACTTTAGGAGCTCATTGCCGGAGTGAACCACTGCAGTGTCGAAGCGCGCGATCCACTGCGGGAGCGCACATACACAGTACTGGAGCACTATGACTCCAAATTACTCTGCCAGAGCACACATATATAATGCTGGAGTGAATGATCCACTACTAGAGCACCCATAGACAGTGCCGAAGCGCTGTGACTCTAGAGTGTTGCACTGCAGGAGCGCACTTACACAGTACTAGAGTACATCATCTATTGCTGGAGCGCACATACACAGTGTCAGAGAGCTGTGACTCCAGATTTCACTGTCGGAGCTTACTTACACTGTGCTGGAGCACATAATCCACTGCCAGAGCATATATAGATAGCGTCGGAGCACTGTGACTCCAGAGTGTTTCACTGCCAGAACGTATTTACATAGTGCCAAAGCACACATCTCCTGCCGGAGCTCACATACACACTGTCGGAGCACACATACATAGTGTCGGAGCGCTGTGACTTTAGATTCCACTACTAGAGCACACTTACGCATTGTCGGAGTGTCACGACCCTGTTACCATACTCGACGAAGGGTAACCAGTTGCGGTTCGTGAACCGGAGGTAGTGAATGCCACTCAGGTCAGAGTGCACTCATCGCTTAATTAACACGGTAAACAAAGCCAACCATGGAAAGGAACTAAAAACAATGATTCAAAGAGGCAGAAGAGCATCTAGAAATAGAATACCCAGACACCAAAAAAATCCACTATACAGTTCAGTTTGGGGCATCAAGGCCCACTAGTACATGTATTCCACAATAAACAATAACTAGGGCCAAATTGCGCACTAGAACATACAATGGGGGAGAGTTTCTTTGTCAGCTCCAGGTCTCAACCGTCAACTACCTCCACTACACCACGTCTTCCACCTGTGACTAAAGATCTATAGAGATGGTAAAATAATAGAGTGAGCTATACAGCCCAATAAGTAAGTCTAGATACTAAGCATCATCAATAAATCTATTATAGTGTAAATATCAGATAAATCAGAAGTCTCATCAGTGTATCAATTATAGGCATCATTTCAGTTATCTGAATTCTCGCTCGATCAATACAACAATTATCATTCACATTCACATTGTAAATAACATATATCATAAGAAGTAATAGTTCAGAAAACCTTTCCTTAATAAACACCATCATGATACATAACAATCATGCACTGCATATTATCATTCATCCATCTATAACCGAACACATTTCACAGTAGATGTTCTTATCTTAACAAAGTATGCTCTTGCTTTACCATAGAGCACATTTTCATTTCACAGTAAACACATGGTGAGGTCAGGCAAATACGCACAAAGCTCACACCTCACTGACATCAGTCACATAGGCAGGCCTTGCAATACTCTCAAAGCAAGCACCCCTCAAACTTAATTTTGGCCATGCAATAAGCACAAAGCATGCACCTCACTGGCATCAGTCACATAGGTGGGCCCTGCAATACTCTCAAAGCAGACACCCCTCAAACTCAATCTTGACTATGCAATACACACAAAGCATGCACCTCACTGGCATCAGTCACATAGGCAAGCCCTGCAATACTCTCAAAGAAGGCACCCCTCAAACTCAATCTTGGCTATGCAATACACACAAAGCATGTACCTCACTGACATCAGTCACATAGGCAGTCCCTGCAATACTCTCAAAGCAAGCACCCCTCAAACTCAGTCTTGGTCATGCAATACGCACAAAGCATGCACCTCACTGGCATCAGTCACATAGGCAGGCTCTGCAATACTCTCAAAGCAGGCACGCCTCAAACTCAATATTGGTCACGCAATACACACAAAGCATGCACCTCATTAGCATCAGTCACATAGGCAAGCCCTGCAATACTCTTAAAGCAGGCACCCTTCAAACTCAATCTTGGGCATGCAATACACACAAAGCATGTCAAAGAATGCTCATATCATCCACCACTTCAGTCACACTACCAAAGGGTGACCCATTGCATGGAGCTTAATATCACAGTATCATAATAGAACAGTACCCACTATCAATGGGTTTGCCATCACGTAGCGGCCAGTATCATAGTGTCATAACATGTTCAGGCATTAAGTTCATTCATGATAAATTAGTGCCTTATGACATATAATTCCAAGTTTCATCATGCAAAGTTTGCATCTTTCATAGAACTTTCCAACAGTCACATAATGTCATGATACTTAACATAAAAAACTAATTATATGAGAGCTATCGCATTGCGTTTACGCAACATTAGCAGTACGACACTTTACGTATAACATTCATCATGGAACTATCACAGTGGCATGGCATTTATCAATTTCCACATAACGCATAGTGCTATGCACACAATATTGTCGCATTTAGCATTCACCACATGAAAATTATTATATAGTACTCATGCTTAATACATATCAAAGATAACACAAACGACTCTACACGCACGGTGCTGTACGAATGGCGTTGCGCCCACTGCCCTACGCGCACGGTACTAAGCTTTCTGCTACCGTGAACAGTGACATACGATCATATTTTGGGGCATAACTTTTAATCTATAGGGAATTTCAAAAAGAGTTCAACATGCAATTTTTAGTATACACACAGGTCTTTCAAGTGGCAGCGGTTTGGAAACATTCGGACTTCATTTGATTAGTCAAAACTTGTGACAACAGAGGCATCGACTGTGCAATCTAGGGAAGTCTGCCAATAGTGACCTATTTGCACAAATTAAAACCTAGTTCACCATTTATGAAGAATTTGGGCAAGGTTAAAACATAAACATCATAGTAGGCACATTTATTTGACAAATGACGGTGATTTGACTGCATTTGGATATCATTTGGTAGGTCAAAAGTTTGGTACAAAAGAGTAACAGTCTAGGAATTTTCTGCAATCTCTTAACAGTGACATACCCACACATTTTAAAGCATAATTTCAAATCCATAGGAAATTTCAAGATGACGTAAAAAGAAATTTGAAGTAGACAACCTTATCATTCGTTCAAAACTAGTGTGGTTCTATTTGGATGCTGTTTGCCTACTGAAAAGTCCGATGCAAGAAGTTCTGGAAATTTGCAATCTCAAGTTTAACATATATTCAAGAACATTCAGTACTGCATAAGGCAAAGCAAATCTTGATGTAAAACTAAGTTCGTATTAAACTACCCCCATAAGTGAACTAGTTCACACATTTCCACCACAAATGGCATCATATACAGAGGTCAATCGATCATGGCATCTAAGATTCCAAGCTCATCACAAAGCATTCATATTCATACTTTTCGTCCTAGCATTTTCCCCCATTTCCAACACTTAACATAAATCCCAACAATTTTATTGATGCACAATAGCTAGACTCACTCACTTGATGCTCACGGTGCTCCAAATCCCCACACTCAAGCCACCTCCATGCTCTCCTGGCAATGGCGTCCAACAACGGCAGCAACAATAAAGGGGGTTCTCTCCTTGTGCTCTAGAGAGAGAAAGTATGAGGGCAAAAAGGCAGTGAGATGGAAGGGGAGAGGCCTTTAAGTATCCAGGGGTAGGTGGGAACCACATGGTTGTCATACAAGGGCGGCGCTGGCACATACGGCTCTAACGAGCGTGGCGCTGGCACATACGGCTCTAACGAGCGTGGCGCTGACAGGTACGTCAACAGTCACCTCATCGCTTTTCACTCACGGCGCTACGCCCGCTTCATGCACGACAATGTTCCAGACGACGCTACACTCGCGGCGATGCCTTTCCTTCTCTCACGCAGTGCCCCTTCCTTTCATGCACGGCCTTGATCCATTCACGCGTGGCGCCCCTTCCTTTCACGCACGGCCTTGATCCATTCACGCATGACGTTAGCCCAGTTCGCGCGCGGCGCTAGCCACCTTGACACGCACGGCGCTGCTACAACTTTTTCTCTCTCTTCAATTCAAAGACGGTGCTGCCTCTTATGCTCGCGACGAGGCTCCTTGCTCGCATGCGGTGTTACCATTTTATGCATGACGTTCCCACTCGTCTACGCACAGTCGTACTTCTTCTTCATCTTCATGCGCGACGTTCCTCCGTTTTACGCACTGTGGCGATAGTCCCTTATGCTCGCAGCGATACTCTTACACACACGGTGTCGCCTCATACGCTCATGGCGGTGCCTCGTTACTTTCACGTGCGATGATAGTCTTTTTCCCTAGCGCCGGGCAAGTGCTTCATTCACCTATCTCTATTGCTGTGAGCGTCTTAAGTCCAGAAGAATTGGGGTCCTTACACGGAGCATATGATCCATTGCCGGAGTGCACATAGACAGTGCTGAAGCGCTATGACTCCAGAGTGTTGTATTGCAGGTGAGCACTAACACAGTGCCGGAGCACACTTACGCAAAGGGTAGAGAGGCTTGGGTAAGATAAAAGCAGGGGAAGGTAGTTTAAAGTATTTTTTTATTTTTTATTTGGTTGGGGGTATTTTGCATAGAAAGTGTGGGAAGGAGTTACGTTAGGGTAAGTCGCACAGTATAGACTTGGGGTTTTTTTGTAATTTTCCCAACAATCTTCTGTTCACCATCTTCCCTCACTTTCTCGTTCCACTGCCAAGCGGCTCCTTTATTTCCCAAACGCCACAATCTCACTGAATTCCGGCTTTTGCTCGTGTTTTTGGCTTTTAGGTATTCCTCTCTTTCTAAGAAAGAAGAAAGCGCCTCTAGCCTCTACCGTTACACTAACTTTTGTGATGTTCGCCTGTTATGATCGCTTCTTCCTCATATATAATTTTATTTTACTAACATTAACTGGAGCTTATTTTCATGATGTTCTAAATTTCTTATTTTGTGGGGTCGCTAAAACCGAAATTGAGAATTTCTAACTTTCTATAAAATTTGAAAAATGGGATCGAAGTTTAAAGTTTTCAATTGTTTTGAATGTAGTCTTGGAGAATAATCCTTTTTTTTTTTTTAAATAAAATTGTTACTATCTACATTGCTTCATGTGGAAATGGCCCTCTTATATTTCCCTGAAAAATCATTTGGGCACCACATAATCTCTCTTTCTCTCTCTTGAAATACTTAATATGCATGTTTGCCAAATTGTGGGAGTTTGCTTCTTCAGCTGATTTTAATTAAGGATAAGGGCATGGGTAAATGGATTTTCCATGGGAACAACTTCTCATTGTTCGAGATGTATCGCATTATTACTTCTCTCTCTTAGTTCACAGTTTCTTATTTGATGTTTGGACTCGTTTATGATTTCTATGTGCTGAACAGGATTGCAAAGGTTAGAAGGCATTGGAGGATTTCAAAGGTTTGTTTCCCTTCTCGTCCTTTTATTTTTTATTTTTTTAACTTTTTGCATTTGTTTATTGGCGCACGTCTGCAAGCAATGGATTCGGGCTTACCATTTTAATCCACAAGTCATATTAAGCTTTGGATTTTTATTGAACTGTGGTTTGGGTAGGGGATATACTGTGAATTAGATGACAATTTTCCTATTCTTAAAGAAAAAAATAGATGTACTACGAAGTAGGTGATGTACTATTTAGGAGTTCTAGGGCTTTCTATTTCTTTTTGTCTATGAATTTTGGCATTTACAAATGGAACTTTTATGCTTAGGGTATGATTTGTGAGAGAGGTGAACCAAATTGATTTGTGAAATGATGATTTACTGAGAAACCTTTATCAGCAAAAGTTATTCGTTAGAGGAGAAAGTTCCAGGAAGTCTTTTAAAGAAAAGGGCAACTGCTGTAGTATTAAACCATATTTCCTATTAGTTTCTTCCATTGCATGGTAAAACTTCTGTTGTTTTCTTGTCTTGCAGACCTACTTTAAGCGACTTGAGAGAAAACAATGCGGAATTTTACATGTCTATAGCTTTTAGTGTTTGTCCTTATAGACTTGGATTATTAGAGTATGTCCCCACTACCATCATCTCAAACCCTCAAATCCACATTAGGAAATTTTTTGGGTATGCGTGTAGTTAGAGAGATGGTTAAGAGATTTTTTTTTTCAAATCCTCAAATACATATTGGGAGATTTTATTGGGTATGTGTGTAGTTAGAAAGAGATGGTTGAGATATTTTCTTTTCCGAGAGAGAGAGAGAGAGAGAGAGAGAGAGAGAGAGAGAGAGAGAGAGAGAGAGAGAGAGAGAGAGAGAGAGAGAGAGAGAGAGAGAGAGAGAGAGAGAGAGTAGTAGTAGTAGTAGTAGTAGAGTAGAGTAGTAGTAGTAGTAGTAGTAGTAGTAGTAGTAGTAGTAGTAGTAGTAGTAGTAGTAGT